ACGCTTCACCTGGAAAAAAGGAAAATGATCTGAGCATGCGCCATGTCACTTGCCGAAGCCATTACTCCCTTACTTAGAGTGTCACATCCTGCTGTTCAGCCTGAAGATAAGAGGAAGAGGCGGGTGGTTTAAAGTGGAGCTTCCTGAAGGGTTTTGGAACGGAGGGCAAAGCTGGGATTGGAAGCGTAGTACAAAGAGAGGAGGAAGAATGTTTTAAGCATAAGCATTAATTACCAAACACTTCAAAGGATGGTCCTATTTAGAGAGCAGATGAGTCAATGAGAAACACAATTTTAGATTTAAAAGATTTTCACCTTAATTGTGATTCCTGCTAGGGATTCTCCGTCTGTTGTGGTTATCCCGCATAGAAGCTTTTTGAAAAAATTAATAAGGGTCAGATCTCTGGGGTCAAATGTGCTCCCCATGAAGCTAGTAACAACGTTTTTGAAGAGAGTGAGTGGTATTGGTATACCTGAAATGGTCCAAGAAATAAGTAATAGGTATTGAGGTGAAGCATTTAAATGCAGGTTTTGTCATTTTTATTTTGTGATGTTACCTTGATCCAGGAGACAGCAGTTGTCTCGATTCTGCATGTTGTAGCCTTAAAAGAAGTTTATTTCAATCAAGGACACAGCTGAGGTATGAGAAAGGGAGAAAGTGGTTGAGCAGTTACGGCTTGTATCCTGTTGTTTTTGTTGTTACAGGCCATCAGATAGCCTCCAACTTAAGGCAGGTCCGTCAATGAATGCCCTCCAAAATGTCCTGTCCTTGACAGCCCTGTTCTACGAAGTATCACGTTAAAATTATAATTAACAGATGCAGACCATGGCTTGGGTACTAATTATTAGTAACTACTTTTTGCCATGAGTGTTTACTCTATAAAAAATGAGTTCTTTGTGGATTATTTTACTTGTTTCTTGAAACTAGCAACTTGTTCTTTTGCCCAGCCTTTAAGTGGGCTTTGGCTCCTCTTACAGTTAACATCCTGTCCACTACTAGTTGAAGACAGAACTCTTATGCATGTTATTATCAAATATTTTCAGGTTACATTCAGAAAAATGTGCTTTAGGATTCAACTTTTGGTTATACTTGCTGTCTGGATGGCCAGAAAAAAAATTTGGAGTCCCAGGTACAATCTTGGAAACATACTCTGAGGTTGCAACTGGGACTCTGCATTTGGTGTGCCTTCTCCCTGCAGTTCTGTGCACAGCTCCAAGGTTGGAGGACTGAGGCTCTGTTGTAATACGAGGTATCCTGACAGTGGCTCACCCTCTCTAGGTACTTTGCCTGGGTACTCCTCTCGCCCTCAATAGATACCTGAAGTGAGAGATAAAAGCAGTTGGGTCCCATGCCTAACTTTTTAAAATTGGGGAATCCTGATTCATGATTTCCACCCCCAGATTGAACCCTGCAGGTTTACTGTTACTGAGAGAAGTCCTCCCTATCCTTCCCTATGCCTTTCTGCATTCCTTTATGTGCTTGCACATTCTGGACTGTCAGGATACAAGTTGAGAGCAAAACTAACAGCCTCATAGACTGCAGCCCATGCCATCAGAAGCATGCATCTTGTAGGCTATAGTCTAGGAAAGTTTATGCCATAATAAAAATGCTTGCCTTTAAAGACTTTTTGTTTAAAGACCACAAGACTTTTTGTTGTTGCTACAACAACAGAGCAACATGTCTGCCCCTTTAGGAAAGGTGTAGAGCAGTGTTGCAGAGACAGCCTTCTCTGCTATCAGGTAATCTTACTACATCATTAAATGGACAATAATACAGTGCTGTAATCTACCTGAAGCAGAGGGAAATGTGAAGTCATTTCTGGATGGATCCTTTTGTGCACACAGCAGTATTGATTTAATTACATTTATTTATAATGATGCACTAGCAGCTCTCATGTGGAATGCAGTTTGGAATTATTAGTGTATAATAATGGTGCATATTGAACAGAAAAGGACAAGAGTAAACAATGAACTCTATTTCAGGCTCTCATCAGATTTTATTTATATATATTAGAAACATGGCTGATTTTTTTTCATCCTTTGTATTTTTAATGTTTATAACTCATCCATCAAAAGTCTTAATCAGGAGAACTTATAATAAAATACAACCCTACAACAGGACCAAAAATAAACAAACAACTCTTGCTATTTTCCCAATAATGAGGACAAGTAGAAAAAGAATGGAAAAGAAAACAGTATTGTCTCTCGTCATGGCATATCGCAGTGGTACACAGAAGCCTTATAGATGGGTGCCTATCTCTGGTCTATCTGGGTAAATATTAGCATTGGATATCTTTAGGTGTCACTTTCTCTGTTTCATCAGTGGATGAAAGGGACTTGTTTGTATATCCTCCTTCATATGCTCTTTTCTTGGGTAATGAGTATAGAAAGAGACTCTTTGTACTGCTTGGATAGGACAACCAGTCTCAAACTCACTGCCAGCTTACCTGCAGAAATTCCTACAATTCTGTGCATCTCTGTTCAGAAGTAATGCAGTGGAACATACTCCAGAGTAAGTATATAAGACTGCAACCTAAATCTTTGAATTATTACCAACATGATTAATGTTATAATCTTAATATTTTGGAAGATCAAATCTGGCTTGCAGGTTACATTTTTCCATTGGTGTATTTTAACAAAGAAAAAATGTCACACATAGGGATAATGGTAATTGTAGATTAATAATCTTGAAAAGCAAGCTAGAGGGTTTTCTCCTTTGAAATAATGTATTTTAATTTGAAAATGAAAGAAAATGATATAGATTCAAAGTCATTCATGATTACATAGCTCAATATTGTTGCAGCAATAACAAATTATATCCTGCTAATTAAAATTTGACCTACGATTTTTAGAAACTTAATTCAAATAGTACTTTTCTAACATTATAACAACCTGAAAATAGAAATGGTAACTTTAACCCACAATCTAATTCAGATTCTTTGCATTAATGACACATTTAGCACTTGCTTTAGTACTTTCAGCAGCCAATACTCTAGCATTTAGTGCTTGGTGTTCCTCAGACTGTATGAAAAATTTCTTGACTTCTAAAATTATTATTACATACACTTATCCCATTTTCCTCCTGTGAGGAATCCAAGACAGCTTACAAAGTTTTCCTTTATTCCATTTTATCTTCATAACAACAACCTGTGCAGCAGGTCAGCCTGAGACTGAGTGACAAGTCCAAATTTATCCAGTGAGTTCCATGGCTGTGTGTGGACTAGAACACACATCATCTTGATCCCCAGTCCAGCACTCTAACCACCATACTGACTTTTACTCATGCCCAGATGATAAATCTTGTGAGGTATCTCAATAATCTGTCTGGTGCAATTCCTATAGTCTTCTCTCCCTCTAGTGTTTCCTCAGCCAATCTAGTTATCCCTCAAGCATTCTGAAACATGTAACTCTACAAGGGTCCTAAAGTTAACTTTAGAAACCCTAAATCTTGACTGTTGATAGTTCTGACTCTTGGTACTAAGTAATGATTAGAGTTTAAGGATCTGTCTTATCTTGTTTCAGGTTATCTCCCTGAATAACTCTGCTGTATATGTTCAGCATATCCCAATGTAATAATCTGAAATCCTGAATTTTTAAAGGAAAATCTTCCTGTCCCTAATTTAGATTATTTTTCTTCACACACACAAACCAAACATAGGAGGAGATGCTATGAGACAATTTAATCTTGAATAATACTAGCCTGCAAGAGTTTTTAGGATTCTCAAAAACCAAGGGGATGACAGCACCATTTGGGATATATTGTTGCTTTTTTTAAGGATTTGAGAAGACATACCAATTACAGAATATTACTGATGCTTCATTTTCATTCAAACATATGTATTTCAAAAGGAAGCAAGCAAGGTGCTGGTTATCTCTCATACCAGGAACATTTCCATTATAGGGATATAGACATCAACCAAACTGATACTGCCTCTTAGAAAAATAATGTTTTGCTATCCTCTACTCCCCAGGATGTATTTGAAGTTTAATAGATCAGACTGAACAGAAAGCTAGGAAATATTAAAGGTTTGAAAGAAGCAGAAAACCTGGAAGTGTGTGTGTAAAATGATGGAGGAAAGTATATTAAGGCGGAGTGGTGATAAGGAAGATTTATGGCTGAAGCAGACAGGGCTGACTCTTGTGTTATCCTCTGACCCAAAGAGTGCCCCAGCTCTTCTTGCTTTGCCACCTAGAGCAAGAGGTGGGTGCCATCCTCCATGTCATGCTGCCCAGAGAAGGGTAGAGCAACTGAAAGGACGCACTGGGTATGATCACTTTTCGTTCACCTGCCTTGTCCTCCAATGCGAGGCATCGCATCGCGAGAGGGACCAAGTGAGTAAGGTGGCCATGGCTGCCTCTTGTCAGCTCGTTCAGGGTGGCCGACTGGGCCCAATCCTTCCCGCGGTGAGCGAGCGGGCAGGCTGGCAACAGCAGCTCTTCCTGGCTATCTCTACTGGCTCGCTCGTGAGCACTTTCTGGACATCCACACTGGGCCCAGTCCTCCCAGCGTTGCTTCCTGGAGAAACAGGTGTGCTGGCTATTAAAAGCGTTGACTGATGCAAGGAATACGGATCGATTAGTCATTTGTTTGTTACTGCGAAAGAGTAATGAAGGGAAAATGGGGACTTTATGAGGACCATTTCTAGGCTCTTTCCTGCCTATATATGCCACCTCTTAAGCACACCCACCCCTCTCCCAAGGTTTCTTTCATGGACGGGAGGAGGAAATAAAATTCTTCTTTTACACCTCGGATGAAGAACCTCGGGTGCCAGGTTATGACACCCCCCCCCCCTCGCCCGCCTTCTTCTTCTTCTTTTTTACATAGTGTTATTATCCTTACTATTTTTAAACAGGGTAAGCCCTGCTCGGAGTCGTTTACTTGAGCAACCGCTTGGGGCACGCGGAGAACCAATAGGAACGGTCCTTTTCTGGGAACCAATGGGAGTGGCCGTGACATCCCTTGATGTTGGGGGTGGGGAGAAAGCGTTTCCTTTAAGTAGCAGGAGCCCCAAGTTGTCCAGAAGGGTGCTCAGTTCTGAGATCTCCTTCTTCTGCCGGGGGTGCTGCACTTGATCTAGCAAGATGGATCCTATACAAGAGGGACGGGTTGTTATTGTTGGCAGGTAAATTCCTTGATCCATCTCACTGACTACTGCCTACGGTGCCCAGAGAGAGGTCCCTGATATGTAATATAATAGGGACACGTCCCCCATAAGAAAAAGGCTGAAAGGCATAGACTGTGCATTCTAGACTCGAAATCTAGCTTACGCCCATGTAAAAACTTCAACTTGGCATGAATACTTGCAGCTACTGCTGCAGCAGCAGCAAAGTACTAAAACAAATGAGTAACTTTCCTATGTGTAAATAGAACACTTACCTAAACGTTTACTTTTAAAATGTGTGTTATCTTGAAACACATGGAACAAGAACAGATTGAACATTCTAGTGAAACAGGAGTTAAAACCTTTTTAAAAGATTGATTTTATATGGCTTAGGGAAACCCATGTCTTTGGAAATCTTTATAAATGACAGCAAAATGTGTTTTTCCAAGCTAACTAGTCATAACATGTTTGAAAAGTGAATATCTTCATATTGCTGTAGGAGGTGCGAATGTGTTCAGGTTGCATGCATTCTTTTTCCATAAGTTAGCTACAGCAGCTTATTAACAGTGATAGTGTTGATTTGTAGTTAAAAGTAGTGCTAGCACTTATCAGAGTTTGCTGGGAAAAAATGTTTCAAAATATGTAGCATTTATGCTTCCATTTCTCCATTAGATAAGGTCTAAATGTTACCTTCTTGTTTTGGTATTAGATGTTTCAGCCCTATCAGTGATACAACCTAACTCTTCAAAAATGGGGCTTGAACAATTGTTCCACAATGGCTTCCCACACTGCAAAATGTAGAGGTGTGAACTGTGTTTGGAGCATGTGTGTTTTACATTGTCACATGATGTTTGGCTAAGGTAGCAGTTATGGTCTGCACTCAGTTATGCATCATTCACCAATGGTATGTCGAGGGTAAAGTCAAGCTTTACCTAACAGTAACATGTACTGGGAAATGTCAGAAACTGGAAAATTTCACCTAGCACAGAACAAAGGTCAATCACCAATTCCTTCAAGAATACTACATTGTAGATTTTTGAACTGCTCTTAATGATAAGTGACTATAATTAATGGAAAAAATGTTTCTTGAAAACCAAGTCAATAGTATTAATTTTGCATGTGTATTGGAATAAAACCATTAGTAACCTGCAGAATTGGCCAGTACAATTGCTAATCTGAAGTTTACTGTTAACTTGTTAAGAGACCAAGTAGTAAACAGTCCAAAATCCACTGCTGAACAAAAGCTTTATTAGGACCAACCAAAACAGTATGCAAGCTTCTGACTTCTTCAGAATACTTCATCAGAGAGAATGGGAGCAGAAATAAAGGAATGCCCAAAAATTAAAAGAACTGCCAAGGAAGTTGCGATCTACTTATGCCTTTACAACAGCAATCAGGAATTTATAGGCCAAAATATTTGGAGGGATACAAGTTGCTCAGCTCTGCTTTCAGATAAATAACTTTATTAAATATTCATTTTTCTTAGGATTTATATTTTCCTTTATGTGGAAAATATTTACAACACAATTTATTGTAAGTTCTAAAACCCTGCATACCTTAAGACATTAACAGTGCAATCCAGTGTGGTTGCCCATAACTGTAAATCTGGAAGAGTATGGGCATCCAATCAAGGACGTAAGGCGTATGGAGGAAAGGATTGCCTCTGTACTTCTTCAGCCTCATGAAACACTTAGCCAGTTTCAGTTATCCAAGTGTTTTGCCCTGTTTGGATGGAGGAAAGGCAGAAGCCTTGCCCATATATATCCCATTGCCACCTCCTAGAACACTCCTCCAACATTAGTTCTGAGGTTGAAGTCGAAACTCTGACTTTTCTTATGACTATCAGTGTCATAATGGAGATATTAATCCATTGAATTTTATTTATTTATTTATTTGGACAACTTGTATGCCATATGCAAGAGAATGTGTTAACTGATTTATCTGAGGTCCGGCTATTACTACTATTCTTTATATAAAATATTTGATGGCTGTATTTAGGGCAGGATCACTCCCAAGGTAGCATACAATATTAAAATGCATAACACATATTGATGTATTAAAATACAGTAAACACTGTAAGACAGAAACAGCAGTCATATGTGTTGTGATTGATGGTAAGTAAATGTTATCTGAGCATTCCAGTTATTGATAAAACATCCTGTCTCTCTAATTTTAGAATGCAATGCATCTATGATAATATTGTACATTTTCCAGCTTACTCAGCAATGTTTGCAGTGTACTTCTACTTTCTTCTTCCTGTTACCATCATAGCTGCTTTTTGAGTGCCTGATAGAGTTCCTTCAAAAAACAAAACAAAACAAAACCTCACAGACTTTTTTCCCTAGTGGTCTTTGTCAGAATTCCTAGATATGACATTAGCCACATGACTGTTTTGTTTTAAATAGGCAACTGGAGTTGATGCATAATAATCTCCTTATGCTATTCATATACTGGCAGATCCTGGGACCTGCAAATAACCTGGCTAATTGAATCATGAACCAATGTTCCCAGTTATAAACAGACACAAATTATTCCCTATTTTTGTTTGGTTATTGTGGATAATCACCAATTATTATTATAATTATAATCACAGCACCTCTAGCTTATCAGGATTTAACTTCGGTTTATTGACCCTAATCCACATAGCTACTGCCTTGAGACTCTAAGGAAGCTCCCACATCCCTTTTTCAGGTTCCAGTGGAAAAGAGGTAGAGCTGGGTGTTGTCCACATATTGATGGCATCTTGCTCCAAATGCCCTGAAGACCATATCCTGCAGTTCCCTATAGATACTAAATATCATAAAGCTGCTGAAAGATTAAAGACGTTTACAAAGTTAATCTTAGCTTGTGGCAAAAACCTGCAACATAAATGCTTCTTTGAATATAAATTTAAAATAAATTTGCTTTATTGACAAACTTTGTTATGTAAAATGCGTGTGTGTGCGCGCGCGCGCCTGCTTCTCAAAAACCTTTCAAAGCTTTTTCCTATAATGAAACAATAATGCAAACATACCAAGTGACTTTTGCTATTTGTGATACATTCTTGCATTTAAATTGAGTAGAGCTGCTTACTCAGACTACCAGGCTGCCAAGTAAAATAATATTGTAAGCATATCCTATTATGTCATGTGAACATCACTGATGACTACAGCTACACCCTGTGATTTGAATTGGCATCAACTAGGCAGTCGGAGATTATTTTCTATCTTGTAGCAGTATATAGATTTGTTAAAGCTATTGGACCTTGCAAAACCAGAAGCAATTTTCATGGACTATATGATGTCTGTGAAGCAGCCAGTAGGCCAAACCTGCTCCTAAGAAGCCCTGTACATGTTCATAACATGACTGAAGCTACTGCTTAAAGGGAATATTATGGGGGGGGGGGGGGCAGGACCGCTTACCCATTTTAGCAATGGAAGAATCTTGTGTGGAAGCTTCTTTAGGCTGAGTCATACTAGAGGTTCATTTAGCCTGGTTCTTCCTTGCAGGTGTTAAGGATCAAACCTAGGGCTTTCTGCACTGCTGAGCTATGGTCCTTCCCTCAAATATAACCATACATGTATGTATGGATATGTGTGTGTGAATATACATGTGTCTGTCCTTTCATATGTACACATGCTGCCACTGGTGGACAGAACACCGCTTGATATTGGACCGGTGTTTCCTTTATCTGCAGCTTTTCCTAAGCTTGCATTTATGACAGAGAGGCAGAAGTACCGTGTTTCTGGCTGTGTGCGGTTTGGCTGATCTTTGAAATGAGTTCAGAGTTATGAGAGTACAAAGTTGAGTTGGCTATCCACACCCCCACCGCAGCCAATCTGCCTGCAGTGCTTGGTTGCTAAGTGTAGCCTTCAATTCAAGCATATTTTCTTTTACAATTTTCTATATTCATGGCACCAAATCATAGTAGCCCAAATCAAATGGGAGAAAACCGTGTGTGTGGCCTAATCCCCTACTTTAAATGATATTTGTATTATACGTTCCCCTTCTGTACTTACATACTAGCTTGCCTCACTCTGATTAGTATACAGCAGCAGTATGTAAAAGCCAGCAAGGTTCTCTTTGCTTGGCCCTGCTCCAGGAGCCATCTTTAAAGGAAGATAGAAGGGTGGCTACTTGGGGTAGGGACTTTTTAGGTGCAGTGCCCCATTGATGGAACCAGCTTTCCAGAGACATCTTCCAAGTGCCTTCTTTATATACATTCTGGTGCCAGGTTAAGACGTTTTTATTTGTGAAGCATTCTAATTGCAGACTGTTCTTGGTTTAAATTTTTAAATTCTGACTGGCATTTTAAATAGTAAATTTGGTATTTTAATTGTGATCCTTTAAGATTTATCCAATCTGTTATGTTAATGTATACTTGATGCCCCTGCTGTGATGCCCCTGCTGTATTGTTTACTGGTATTGATGTTTTAATTGTTTTATTTATGTAGTTTTTCTGCTTTGTTATGGTTTTATTATGTAAACCATCCAGAGAGCCATGAGGCTATTGCCGCAGTATACAAAAGTGTTAAACAACTGCCTGGGTCATAGAACGACAGACCAGTTATCTTACATATGTATGCCAAACTTTTACCTCAAAGGGAAAGGGTTCTAGTTTAGTGATGGAGCATGTACCTTTCATACTATAGTTCCCAGTTCATTCCTTGGCATCTCCAGGTAGGGCTGGAAAAGATACTTGTCCAAAGTTTTGGAGAGTGGCTGCCAGTCAGTGTAAACAATACTAAGCTAGATAGGTCACTGGCCTAATTTATCATAAGGTAGCTGTTTCTATAATAATGCCCTGACTACAAATATGGTTTAGAGCCAGCTTGTATAATACAATGCTGTCTGTACAGTGGGGCATTAGGCTCATGACCTCTTTATGCACGTATTAAATGCTAAGCAGTGGGTCATACTGACCTTAGTTTGAAACAATCCAGCTTTCTAACCTATGATTTGAAATTGCCTTGTTTCAGACAAACCATAGTTGAAATGTATCATCTGTACTGATTTCAGATTTAAAAAAAAAGGTGTGGTTAAGTAAAAATGGACGTGAACTCTTCTGCTTTCCTCTGAACAATTGAACTGAAAAGGGGTGCAGATGAGCCTAAGTTTTGCTGTGGCATCCACATGAATTTGAATGTGTATAAACACAATAGTTAGATGTCTATAAACATGTCTATCTCTTTTCCCTTAGTGTGACAGATTGCAGGGAAAACAATGTCATATCTGGCTCACAACTGGATGTGTAGACTCTTATTTTATTTTAGATTTTTATAAACTAACATCTCTTGCTTAAAGGGTATTAAAGGTAATAGGGCTGGAGGAGAGACCCAAATTTAAGTCAGAGTAGGTAATAACTTGTTAAACAGATGGCCTAATATGGTCACTGATTGTTTATGTAATGCATAGAAGAAATATATGGCCAGGATGTGTAGGTCTGTAGACCCTAGCATGCAAAATAACTCAGAATCTCCTGAGGAGAGAATATTTTTCTGGCCATTTAACACTAGTCCATCTTACTCAGTGTTCTCTTTCTGTTAGATAATTGTTTGGTTTGTATATTCATTCATTTGAGACATTTATAGTTTGTCTTTTCCTCCAAAGAACACAAGGGATATATTATGTTACTTCTCTTCCTCCTCCTCCTCCTCCTCCTCCTCCTCTAAAAAAATGCATAGATATCCTGTGAGGTAGATTATGCTCAGAGTAAATTACCAGGTTCACAGTGGCTTATTTCAGTCATGGTAGATGTGGTACATGTGAAGCGACTTTTGAATATTCAAGCCATGATTGAAAATCAGCTAGGGCAGTTTATTGGCATGATTAACACACTTCCCAGAACTCATGGGTTGTTTTAAGATTGTGGGTGGTTTTTTAACTATGCCAGCAAGCCATGCTCACAACGTTTGGACAACACAACAAGCCACTTTTACAGCTTGAACATTCAAAAGGGGTACCCACAAGAACTCACTGAGAACTGCTTGAGCTGCATGGTTGACTGGGGACTTGAACCTATGCCCCCCCCCACCCCCCTGCAGTCCCAGTCCAGCCTGGGAACTGCTACATCACACTAGCTCTGAGGTTCAAGAAGTAGACTGCTTTACCATATGCTGACTTGTCTGTTTTGTGCTTGTCCCTTCAAACTATTTCTTGAATTTCCATTGCTGGATCTGAATTATGGTTAATCAATCTGTAATGTGCTTATATTTATTTGAGAAGAGTGGGCTGTATATGTCCATACCCAGATTACTGCCTTTAAGAAAATGGTCAAACAAAAACCTACTATTATTTTTATTGGTTATTCATTTTGACAGTATAATCATAACAATAATGAATACTAGCCTTCTTTATTTTAATTTTCTCTCATTAGTGGACTCATTGGCTGCAGCTGGGCCATGGTTTTTGCTTCTGGTGGCTTCCAAGTAAAACTTTATGATATTGTGGAAGAACAGATAAGAAATGCTTTGGAAAAAATTGGGTAAGTCACCTGACTTCCTTTAAATTGAAATTAGCAATTCTGATTGATTGTAACAGAAAATTTTACCCATATTTGGACAGAAATAATACCTAAAATTCTCAGGATACTGGGAGATTTAGAACCTATTTCTGGCTATATATGTATAGGTCTGTATACATTACATTTATTTTAAAGTACTTTTTTTAATTTAAAGTCTCTTGAGGCACAATCCAATCCAAGTTCTGTAATTCTCAGCATGTACCAGTTGGGCATGGTGACTGGAAAATGCAGAGAGCTGTAGAACATTCTCTGTATAAACATGCATACGTTTGTGTCCTAATTATGTATTTAATAGAGAAAGAGATAAGAGAAATCCCTGAAGTCAACAGAAGGCACCAAGATTACTGCTGTGTCCAGTTATCACTGGTTTTAGCTCAGCAATGAGACTCCAAGTGAAAAGGAAATACCACCAGTAGAATGCAATTTTATATCAGTAATTCAGCAATTTTGTGATGCCTGGTTTTACAGTGTCTTTTAGAAATGATCTGGGCATTTCAAATTCTAATAACTGGATATATTCTCAAACTGGTTTGAGAATGCCTGAGCTGAAGTTTCCTGGTTCATATCTCAGTGATGAACTGTGTAGGTCTCTTTAATCAAGGCCCTGTGCTCTTAGCAGCAGTGGCACAACCTGGGATGATGGTAATATAGGTCAGTTTTTTAAGATGTTTTTCAGAGATTGCACATATAACATTGCCCCATTCATTCCCTTGTACTCCACAAATTGTTGTATCAGCAGTAACTTCTGCTGATTCCTTTGCACAAGCAGGTGCACTGCTTGAGCAGTAAAGATTTAGGGCTTCCTAGAGTAAGTCCCAAAACAAACTGCAGTGTTTATTTCTCAAACCAGACAGGTGATTAGATCTCCTTTATGTGAGCTTAGCCAATCTTCCACAGTGCAGAAATGTGCAAAAATGTTTCTAGGTGTCCCGAGTAGCACTGAACCCCTGCTTCACAAGCATTGACCACTGTTTGTGAACAGGAATTGGTAGGGCACATGTGAATTAGTGGGGGTATACGATGATTACACATTTTATTCATCACAAATGAAAGTTTGTTTTTTGCACTGCTATATGGCCTTGTGCAGATAAAAGTAGAGTGAACAAATAAGTGGAGTAATTATGGTGCTCTTCACTATTCAACAAACCTATTTCATGAATCAGAATGCTTGGAAGTAATAGATACTTACATTTTGGGAGGACTCTTTTGCTATTCAGATTTTTCCCCTCCCTTCCATCCTTCCTTCCTTTCTGGGCTGAATACCAGAGGAAGCCATTTATCAGGTTATAATTTATATATGTGCTTACTAAATGATTAAAACCAGCCAATAACTGAAGTTCTCTGGGTACTTCACAACAATTAAAACCATAAAATATGACATTATAAGATAAGAATATAGATGTTTAAACTATAATTTAAAATAAAAACCTGGTAGCAGTGCAAAAATCTAAAATACAGTAGCAATATAACTGGAAAAACTACTGGAAAATTTTGGAAAATAAGGTTTTCACTTGGCACCAAAAGGACCACAATATAGGTGCCAGGTGAATCTCTCTGAGGTGTTCAGATGAGCATTCCAATTTAATGCCTTCAATAAATTTTCTCTCCTGATTTTCCTGTTTGGTATAAGGAAGCAGCTAATGTAATTAATACAGTGTGCCTCTGCAACTCTTTGTCTTGGGAGATGGAATATTTAAGGTGTCTTCAAGGCTTCCTTGCATAAGAATTTGTGTACATTCTTTGTTCTGTTTACCTGTTTTTTGGGTTAGGTTTTAAACTAGTTGGTTCAGCACAGATCTTTAGATACCTGAATTTGAAGAAAACATGATTTAACCTCTGTGTATCTGCAACAATCATGTTTGCTTTATAATGTTTGAAAAAATCCTATGTTCTTCAAACTTGTATTGAAAACCTGCTTTGACAAATATGAAACCAGCTGTTGGTAATGATTTAAAATATCTTTTTGTGGATATATCAGTACTTCAAATTCTTTACAACTCATGGTATTATTAAAGTGTTTAACACAAGAGATCACAAATTAATGATCTCATTATGAATGCAAGGGTGACAGTAGAATATCCAGTTGCAGACTATTTTGCATGACCGGCAGCAGAATATAAGTAAAATACAATCAGTATATGCCTGCTACTATAGGTATGATAGTATCTGGGAGTAATATTGAAACAGAATGTATTTTCCTCACTTTTGAAATTTCTGGGAGACTGCCAATTAATTACTTAAGTAAATAAGATTATAAGAGGTTCTGCCTGTTTTAAAAAGGACATCATTTCTCATTTATGAAAAAATCTGCTGTTAATCCTGTACATTTAGGGGAAAATGTGACTTGCAATAGCTGTGTTTCATAAAGTATTAACATGTAATCTAATTAAAACATCATGTCACTTGACATGCTACAGATAAATATTGGTTGGAGGGGCTGAATACATGGGTAGCTAGATAACACTGAACTGTAAGAACCTGTCTGTGTCTGATTATTTCAATCTTTATTTAAAAAGAGCTGATTCATAATTTCAGGTGGGCATGAAGAACAAGTCATCCAGGTAATATTGTATATGAATGCAAATGATGTCATTTATAATCATGATCCTGTAATTTTAAGTTTTGTAAGCCACCCAGAGACTCCATTTGGAGTAGAGGGCGGCATACAAATGTCAAAAATCAATAAATGAAGATACTAGAGAAATGCAGATTGAGGAGAATATGTTGGTGAGGGTGGAAATGAGAGTAGTGATAAAGTAGGAGACACTCTGTGTGTGTGTGTGTGTGTGTGTGTGTGTGTGTGTGTGTGTGAGAGAGAGAGAGAGAGAGAGAGAGAGAGAGAGAGAGAGAGAGAGAGAGAGACAGACTGACTCTAGGACAATGCATCAGCTGTTGTACCTTCACTGAATAGGGATCTATTTGAGGAAGTATAATCTTTCCATAGGTTGTCAGTACATATTTAGATGTTTCCTTGTGTGGAGAAAAAAAATTAGTTGCAATAGGAATAAGACAGAAAAAGTACTGTATGGGCAGAACTGTGATGGAAGAGGTGAACTTCTCCTAAAGGAGAATGGAAAATATCTTTAAGAATTATAGTATTCCTTAAGGCATATAGGAAATAAAGACATAACATTTGAGTATCAGGGATGCAGCTGGGTTTTAAGGATTATTAACTTAAAAACAGTAATTTAGTGGATGAAACTGAAACATATTGTCCTTGTCAAAAATGAAAATTCTGATTTGTTATCTGTACTGATTTGAAGTTTTTTTTTCTATGTGAAAGTATTTCTGGCTGACAAAAGGTTTTTAAAGTGTTGCCAAAATAGTGCTGACTAAAGAGACCTCATCCTTTTGTTGTGCTGTTAATAATGCCTCCAAAGCAGGCTTTTAAGTTTCAAATTTTAAATTATAGCTAAGGCATTCATGTATATTCTCAGACCATCATAATTGAACTAGGGAGCCCTCTAGTGCAGCAATTCAATAACTGCAAATGTCAGAGTCTTCTACTACACAGGTCAGAAATGGAAAATCACTTTCCTTTTTGGGGAGCTGGTAATAGATTTTTTTTTTTTAATCCATGGAAATTCATGCAAAAATGAAAAGCTGCATATTCCTAAGGACCAGCACCAAATTTCTAGAAATTTCAGTGATGGTATACGTCAATTTCCTCCTAAACCCTGAAGCAAACTGTTTGGCTAGGTAGGTGCCAGGACAGCAGCCTATGTGAACTTTTTGCACATGTGTTTATAAATAGTCAGAGGAAAGAAGGGACTTGCAGCCTATAGTGATGGAATAGGTACCACTTTTGACCAATTCTGTCTTGAGATGTGAATACATGCAGATACACAGTTGTCTATGATTTGTATGCCTATTATTATTATTTCATTTCTATATTGCCCCACAGCGAAGCCCTCTTCTTTAGAGGTCTGATAGGATTTCCCTACAGCAAACATCATGATGAACCCCATTGCCCAATGACAGAGGGCTTTGAGAATGATCCAGCCACCTAATCAGTTTCTCTCTTTCTTTTCAGGACTCCAGGACCTCAATTCTGAGGGACTGTTGAACTTGGCATTCATTACCTTGGTGTGGGATATGTGTGCATAAGCTGTTTCATTCTTTTCACTGTTTGATGTACAGCTGCTTTCCCCAGTTGAATGCCCTCCAGGAGTTCTGGGCTAAAATATGCAGCATTCCTAACCATTGACCATGCTGGCTGGGGATGATAGGGGTCAATGTTAAAACATCTGGAAGGCTTATCTATCCACTGAGATTTTTAAGACTATTACATGCACCCAATACCATGTCATTCTGGAAGTGGATAACACTAATAATGCCACTGTTGTTTTTTCTGCTTTCTAATTAGCAAACAAATGAAAGAACTAGAAAAGACAGGAATGCTGAAAGGGTCACTGAAGGCAGATCAGCAGCTTGCCCTCATTAGTGGTTGCACAGATTTAAAAGAAGCAATTCAGGGTGCCATTTATGTTCAGGTGAGTACATTAATGTTCCATTTCAAATGGTAAGAGACGTTTATTATAATTTGTCAGTAAGCCCATTATTTATTGATATAGTACATATTTGTTCACTTATCAGCTGTCTTAATTTAATAAGTCTTGCAGTTAATGAAATTAACATTGGCCTCTTATTACAGTTTTGATGAGCAAACTTCACTCTTATAATGATTACCATTCTGTGAAATGTATTGGCTGACTACAGCTTAATCCAGTGGTGGAGAACCTATGGCACGCGTGGTGCAGCAGGCACACAGAGCGCTCTCTGTTGGCACGCGAGTCAAGTCACCCCAGCATCACCCCAGCAGCTGAGCATTGGATAACAGCGCACACAGGGGCCATGCGCATGCTCAGAAAGGAGTAGCGCCGCCAGGCAATGACATCATGAGCCGCAACTCATTAGCTGCGACTCGTCTGAGCTTTCACAGTGCGCTGCCAAGGATATATATATATTTGGTTGGACTGGCTGTGAATTGTTTTTTCTACCCTAAAACCTCAGTATTCAGGTTTTACTGCAGTGTTGGCAATAAATGAGTGGGTTTTGGGTTGTAGTTTGGACATTCGGTTTCTAAAAGGTTCACTATCACCATCTTAATCAAACAAAATATTTTGTCATGAGGTGACTTCCCTTGGGAAATTATGGGATAAATGTGTAAGCTAATAATTTGTATTCACTTTATACAAAAACAATAAATAGCACAGAAACAGTGGTAGGGGAAGAGAAATAGGAAAGGAAAATGGAGGATGTATAAAAGGAGCAGGGTGAGCTTAGAATACACATTCTGATACTTTAGCATTCATCTATAGTTACATGAGGGACTGTGGGTGGCGCAGTGGTTTAAACTGCTGAGCTGCTGGGCTAGTTGATCGAAAGGTCAACAGTTCAAATCCGCATAATAGGGTGAGCTCCCATAGTCTGTCCCAGCTCCTGCCAACCTTGCAGTTCGAAAGCTTATAAATGCAAGTAGATAAATAGGTACCACTTCGGTTGGAAGGTAACAGTGTTTCGTGCACTTTGGTGTTTAGTCATGCTGGCCACATGACCACAGAAACTATCTGCAGACAAACGCTGGCTCCCTCTGCTAGGAAACGGAGATGAGCACCACCCCCTAGAGTCAGACGTGACTGGACTTTAATGTCATGGGGAAACCTTTACCTTTTTTATAGTTACATGCCTTTATTTTAGTTCAAAGTGCCAAGCTGAAAATTAGAAATTGTTTATGCCTTCATTAATGTATATGTATGGACCAGATTTCCAGATACAAATAAAGCTGACAATGATAAAATGTACATTCAAAGATAACATGAAATATAAGTCTCTGTCTCTCTGTTTGATGAATAACAGAGAATAAGGATTTATACTTCAAGTTTGGCTTGTACTTCAGTTTCATAGAGCCCAATGTCCATGTGACAGTTCTACATTACAAGTATACAATTCAGGAGCATGTGGCCATTTGCAATGTTTTAAACACAAAATACAGTATGTGCAGTAATGAATGCACTGAATAATTTCATTAATAAATTTAAACCCAGTGAACTAGTTCTTTGTGTAATTCAGTTAATACAGGGAATACATAATATGTTCAAAAATTTGGTTGAGGGAAGTGGCATGGTGTTGTATGGTGACTATTGAGTTTTTTTTTAGAAAGGATATGTTGTTGTTAGTCACGAAGTCATAACCGACCCATTGTGATCCCATGGACAACATTCCTCCAGGCCTTCCTATCCTCCACTATCCCCCGGAGTCCTCTTAAGCTCAGGCCGACTGCTTCAGTGACTCCATCCAGCCACTTCATTCTCTGCTGTCCCCTTCTTCTTTTGCCGTCAATTGTTCCCAGCATTAGGCTCTTCTCCAGGGAGTCCTTCCTTCTCATTAGGTGGCCAAAGTATTTGAGTTTCATCTTCAGTATCTAGCCTTCTAAAGAGCAGTCAGGGTTGATCTCCTCTAGGACTGACTGGTTTGATTACCTTGCAGTCCAAGGGACTCTCAGGAGTCTTCTCCAGCACCACAATTCAAAGGCCTCAGTTCTTCGGCACTCAGCTTTCCTTATGGTCCAACTCTAACAGCCATACGTTGGAACTGGGAAAACCATAGCCTTGACTATACGCACTTTTGTCGGCAGAGTGATGTCTCTGCTTTTTAGTATGCTGTCTAGATTTGCCATTGCTTTCCTCACAAGTAGCAAGCGTCTTTTAATTTCTTGGCTGCAGTCCCTGTTTGCGGTGATCTTGGAGCCCAGAAAAATAAAATCTGTCACTACCTCCATTTCTTCCCCATCTATTTGCCAGGAAGTGAGAGGACCGGATGCCGTGATCTTAGTTTTCTTAATGTTGAGTTTCAAGCCAACTTTTGCACTCTCCTCCTGCACCCGCATCAAGAGGCTCTTTAGTTCCTCTTCACTTTCTGCCAATAGAGTGGTATCATCTCCATATCTGAGGTTGTTGATATTTCTCCCGGCAATCTTAATTCCACCTGGTGATTCATCTAGCCCCGCCTTTCTCATGATGCACTCTGCATATAAGTTAGTAAGCAGGGAGACAGTATACAGCCTTGCTGAACTCCTTTCTCAATTTTGAACCAATCAGTGGTTCCGTGTCCAGTTCTCACTGTCTCTTCTTGATCCGCATATAGGTTTCCCAAGAGACAAATAAGATGGTCTGGTACTCCCATCTCTTTAAGAGCTTGTTGTGATCATTTTGGCATTGCCACAATTTGTTGTGATCCACACAATCAAAGGCTTCAGCATAGTCAATGCAGCAGAAGTTGATGTTTTTCTGGAACTCCCTAGATTTCTCCATGATCCAGCGTATGTTGGCAATTTGATCTCTAGTTCCTCTGCCTCTTCGAAATCCTGCCTGTACTTCTGGTAGTTCTCGGTCCACATACTGCTGGAGCCTAGCTTGTAGGATTTTGAGCATAACTTTGCTAGCATGTGAAATGAGTGCAATGGCGCGGTAGTTTGAGCATTTTTTGGCATTGCCCTTCTTTGGGATTGGAATGTAAACTGACCTTTTCCAATCCTGTGGCCACTGTTGAGTTTTCCAAATTTGCTGGCATACTGAGTGTAGCACTTTTACTGCATCATCTTTTAGGATTTTGAATAGCTTAGCTGAAATTCTGTCACCTCCGCTAGCTTTGTTGTTGCTCAGACTTCCTAAAGCCCATTTGACTTCATATTCCAGGATGTCTGGCTTGAGGTCAGTGACCACTCCATTGTAGTTATCAGGGACGTTAAGCTCTTTCTTGTATAGTTCTTCCGTGTACTTGCCACCTCTTCTTACTCTCTTCTGTCTCTGTTAGGTCCCTGCCATTTGTTCCTTTATCATGCCCATCTTTGCATGAAACGTTCCCTCCATATCCCCAATTTTCTTGAAGAGATCTCTGGTCCTCCCTATTCTATTGTTTTCTTCTATTTCTTTGCACTGTTCATTTAGGAATGCATTCTTACCTCTTCTCATTATTCTCTGGAATTCTGCATTTAATTGGGTGTATCTTTCTCCCTTGCCTTTTGCTTCCCTTCTTTCCTCAGCTATTTGTAAAGCTTCCTCAGACAGCCTTTTTGCTTTCTTGCATTTCTTTTTCTTTGGGATGGCTTTAGTTGCTCCCTCTTGTACAATGTGGCGAACCTCCGTCCATAGTTCTTCAGGCACTCTGTCTTTCAGATCTAATTCCTTAAATCTATTTGTCACCTCTACTGTATATTCATCAGGGATATGATTTAGGTCATACCTGAGTGGCCTAGTGCTTTTCCCTACTTTCTTCAATTTAAGCCTAAATTTTACAACAAGAAGCTCATGATCTGAGCCAGTCAGCTCCTGGTCTAGTTTTTACTGACTGTATAGAGCTTCTCCATCTTTGGTTGCAGAGCACATAGTCAATCTGATTTCTGTGTTGACCGTCTGGTGGTGTCCATGGGTAGAGTCGTCTCTTGGGTTGTTGGAAAAGAGTGTTTGCTATGACCATCGTATTCTCCATAAGGATATCATGTTTTGGTGTTAATTCAAGAAGGTGTTGTAGGCCTTCATAAAACTGGTCAACTTCAGCCTCTTCAGCACCAGTGGTTGGGGCATAGACTTGGATTATTGTGATGTTCAATGGTTTGCCTTGGATTTGAACTGAGATCATTCTGTCATTTTGGAGATTGTATCCCAGTACTGCTTTTCCTACTCTTTTATTGACTATGAAGGCTACTCCATTTCTTCTGAGGGATTCTTGCCCGCAGTAGTATACCTGATGGCCATCTGAATTAAATTCATCCATTTCTGTCCATTTTAGTTCAATGATTCCTAAGATGTCGATGTTCAGTCTTGCCATCTCTTGTTTCACCACGTCCAGCTTGCCTTGATTCATGGATCTTACGTTACAGGTTCCTATGGAGTATAGATCTTTACAGCATCGGACTCTCCTTTCACCACCAGATACATCTGCAACTGAGTGTCCTTTTGGCTTTGACCAAGTCGCTTCATTCTTTCTGGTGCTACTAGTACTTGCCCTCTGTTCTTCCCCAGTAGCATATTGGACACTTTCCGACCTGAGGGGCTCATCTCCTGGTGTCATATCTTTTTGCCTTTTGGTAATGTCCATGAGGTTTTCATGGCAAAGATACTGGAGTGGGTTGCCATTTCCTTCTCCAGTGGATCACGTTTTGTCAGAGCTGTCTGCTATGACCTGTCCGTCTTGGGTGGCCCTGCATGGCATAGCTCATAGCTTCATTAAGCTACACAAGCATATTCAAGCTACCCAATATGTGTAACTGTTTCCCCTTGGAAATAGGCAAACAAGTGAGATCTGCAGCCAAAGGTGCAGTGCTCCTGTTCACCTTTCCAGTCAGATGTCCCCCTTCCAGCTACTCAGAGAGCGTGGCTACTGGGCTGTATATAAATATAATAATGTATATATTTATGTATTAGTCTTATAGACCACTTTAATAGTCCTACCTGACCCTTTAAACAATATAAAACAATTAAGCAGTTAAAAC